CCTTTCCTCCCTTTTTGATTTTATATAGATCATCGTGGGAATATATAATGGAATTTAATGTAATTGACTATTTATATCGAATATCTTTTAATATATTATTTTTGTTTTCAGTGACATGAATGTGTCGTGGCAGAATATAAGGTCATTCTTTATGAACTTATAATGCTTACCCGCTTCGAAGCTTAAATAGTGCTAACTACAAACTTGTTTGATTATAGGGCTACAGTTCTTCAGCGCAGCAACAGCCTGGTACTGTAAACTTTGCGATTCCTGGATAGGCGATCTCCATTGTGCTAGTCTGCATCTGAAGTCTAAACGTCATTCTGAGAATTTCTCTGTAAGTGATTTTCTCATATCACTCGATGCTTTCAATAACAATAAATAGATCAGAATAAAAGATTTATCTTGCAAACTAAAATTAAATACGTAATTATAATGATTATTTGAAGTAATTTTTATTAAAATAGTAGTTATTTATAAAGATAATTTGAAATGAAATCTAGTAAAAAGATAATTGCGTAATTTCTTTTTTTTGCATAAATTTCATATGTTTAATACAAATAATTTAACAAATAGGAAATATTGGCCATAACTGTTGAAATTGGATCTTTAATACTTAAATAATTAATTACTGTTATTTAAAACAAAATGATTAGTGTTATTTATTCAAATAAAAAGGGTATGCAAAGATGTGTAAATCGTATATTAGATAAAAAACTAAAAAACATAACTTTCATTACAAATAAGACTTTCTCACGATATCTGCATTTTTTTAAAGTTTAAAAAAATAATAGTAATTTTTAACCATAAGGAATAAGTAGTTTAATAAGATTGAAAAAAAATAATTGAACTTTTTGAATCGCATCTAACATATGTATAGACATTTTAAACTGCACGAAAATTTTATCGGACTTAAAACGCAGCTAAACTACTGAATACAAATCACAATTAAATTTGGATGCTCAATAGGCATCTATTAAAGAAATCTTAAAATGCTGGTAATTTGTAAATAAATTTATTACGAAAAATATTATCTCAGCCGAGAGTTTGAACTCGAATCTCTAGCATCTATGCGAGCATCCTAAAAACCAACCATAGCACATAAAAGACTTAAGGCAGTAAGACGTAAATGATAAGAAAATCAACATATTTTGGATTAGCTACTATGTTATGGCCTTACGGATTCTACTGTGATTGATCAATTCGCTTACTACTTATATTTTACTGCTTTTTATGCTTAAATTTTATTGTGTGCCATGGCCCTAAGCCCTTAGACTACCAAGGCCTTATTCTCTCTCTCTCTCTCTCCCCCTCTCCCCCCCCTAAATATTTTAATCTTACAAATGTTTACAAATAATTTAATTGAATAATATGTTGTTTAGCGCTTTGTAGAGCAAAATCCACATTGGGAAACCGACTGGATGGCCGATAGAGAAAAGGCGTTCTCCGAGGACAAACACAAGCAAATACAGTTGGAATTGCAAAAACAGAAAGATGACGATCCCCCAACAAAATCGAAAAAATCGAAGAAGAATAAGAAAAAATCAAAGAAAGCCAAGAAACGCAGAAATAGAAGCAGCGCTAGCGATACATCAAGTGAATCAGATAATTCCGATACAGAATCTGATCAGGATACCTCCAAGAGTATACGTGTAGCCATGCGAAACAAGATTAAAGCATCTACGCAAGCGATTCTGAATGAGGAGATAGATTATCAACGTATAAAATTGAAAGGACATAACTGGTCGAAAGCACCACAAATTAATCAATCACCGATGCCCGAACAACATCCGTCAGAGACGGATGACAGACAACTCTTGAATTCAATCAGGGACAAATTGAAAGCCAAACAAGAAGAGGAGATGAAAAGTCGCAAGAATCAGGAAAAAATAGAGGAAGAGGACTTACAGCAAGACACTTATTCGAAGAAGGAGGATTTGGAGGCTTGGGGTCCAAAGGAACCACCCAAGCCTTTCTGGATAAAGAAGGAAGAAGAGAAGCAGGCACAGACAATTGCAAATAAACCAATCGAATTACCGAAACCAGAAGAGATGCCGAAGCCACACATGGGATTCTGGACTAAGCAACAAGTGAACATGACAGTGAAGCCGCCCGAAAATAAATCAATGGAGAAAGAGGATGAAAGAGACCGCGATAGAGATCGTTATAAGGATGATCGTGATCGCAAATACAGCAGATACGAAAGGAGAAGCCGACGCGACAGAGATCGGGATAGAGACAGAGATAGAGATAGGGATCGTGATTACTATGACGATCGTCGAAAAAGAGATAGGGACAGAGATAATAACGATTCTCCAAGGCGTGACAGAAATTGGCGTGACAGCAGTCCCAAGAGGAGCTATGACAAGTACAGTAAAGACAGACGGGGAGATAATGACAATTCATCGAATGATGAATCCAAATTTGATAAGAAATCAAGCGAGTCGAAATTAAAGAAAGGTGGTATTTCGAATAAAAAATCCGCGTCGCAAGTGGCAACTAAAGGCAAGTTACCATTCATTGGAAGATTGCCTCTATTTAAGAAAAAGACCGAAGAACCAAAGTTACCAGAAAAGGATATTACTCCGTTGCCCTACCAACAAAGCAAGTTTGAGGATACACCAAAGGTACCTAACGAAATTATCAATCCACCTGGTGTTGTACACATCACCAAATTAGCTACCCCATTAAATTTAAATAACAGCAGCATTACGACTTCAATGGCGAGCAAAATTAACAATCAGCCTATGAAGATTTTAGTGGCACCTCCGCCGCCCGTGCTAAACGAGACCAAGCCGACTCAGCAAGTGGTTGACATGGAAATAGACGATCAGTCCGAAGAAACAGTTATAGAGGAACAGCCGATAGTGGAGCAACAAAAACAACAGCAACAGCAGCAGCAACAGCAGCAAACTTCGACTGTGTCGAAACTGCAGTTACCTTCGCATCCACCGCCACCGTTGAATAGACCACCACCCAGCTTTACTCCAAGCCAACAATCAGCAGTACAGAATAGACCGCCGCCAGCACAAAGTACACTACCGGCGCCGCACTTTACTCCAAATCGACCGCCTCCACCATTCATATCAAATCCTCCGCCGTTTGTTCAGGCACCACCAAGATTTCCACCTCGTCAAGCTGTACCGCCTGCTACCTTCATGACGCAGCCGCCACCGGTATCAAATGCAAACTTCGTACAGAATCATCAGAATCCACCGCCGCCGCCAACAGTGGTAGACTCTGGTACTGCAGCGCCATCGCATTCCGACGTGACTGATATACCGGAACCGTCAGAAAAACGTTCAACAGACCCGAGCATTCCATTGCCGGATGATTTACAAGAAGCTCTCAACATAATCTTTCCTAAGGAGGAAACAGCAGAGACTAAACAGCAGCAACAACAGAGTCAAGAGTCTAACATCATGTACTCTTCAATGTACAGTATGTTGGGCTGCGTAGGATATGGTCCTGAATACATGGATCAACCACCACCTGAGATTATGCAAGAGGCAGAAGCAGACACACAACCTGGACCTGATGATCTTCGCATGTTGGGAATTGATGAGGGAGATACAATTTTGTAAACCACACTCGCAATCTATGGATTTATATCGATGGCGCTCCTGTTACTGATTCACATACAGGAAAAGGTCTTGTTCTGCAATAGAAAAGATTAATCTATTGTTGATCCACTTGTCGTTCATCTCAACGTCTAATATGTATTTTATCATTGACTATCTCTTACATGTTTTGAAAAAAAAGAAAAGGAAAAGAAAGTAATTATGATAGATAATCCTGAAATATTGTGAATATAAAGCTAGCGCCATGATGACTAGAATCATGACTAAGTCTGGTATCAACTTACGCGGTCTGTAAAGATTACTTAACGATATACAGTAGAATTTACAATTGTCCGCTATTATATTTGTTAACATCATAACTGTCTTCGTTTATAATGTTTTCATCAGTTTTGTTTTGGAATTTATGAATTTACTATTGCACAATTGATATCATATTTAACAACAGCGACAGCAGATATTGATATACAATAGTTTTAAACTTTGTCTATCTCTTAAGATTTCTGACCATTGCCACGACCATATTGGACCATTATCAATATTATAATTAGAAAATAACACGAAGTTTCTTGCATGCTATTTGTAAATAAAGAGAATTGGATAAAATAAAATAATGAAATCACTTCAAAACACTTATACAAATCGAAATTATTCTATCCTTTTTTTTTACAGTTAGCAAATAGTTGTAACAAGTACGTCAATTGAAAATAAGCTTCTATCTTCACTTGATGTGCCTTTTATATGGTCTCTACTTTTTTTTTCTCTTTACAAAATTGCATGCAAGAAACGTTGACGAGTCATTTTTCGCTGACATCACGATCCAGTATGACCGCAACAATTAGTCAGGAGTCTTAACTAAAGTTATAAGGATTTGTTGAAAATCGATAAATTGAATAAGGTTATGGAATGTTACCAATGCATAAGTCAAAAAATACGACCAGATATGTGTGTAATATTAATAAAAAACGCAATTCTACATCATGTATTAACATTGATATTGTATATCTTTGATATTGTAAATCCGCAACTTTCAGTTGTATATGTACAATACACTTTCAAATGTAGAAGAAATGTTCAAGTTAAGTTTTTATAATATAAAGAGAGAGATAATAGATTGGAATGTAAGACCGTAACATTAGAGACATTTATATTACATTTTTCGAGACTAATTCTTTTTCTTTTTTTTTTATATGTGTATTAACCATTCTTTTTAAAAATAATAAATAATAATAAGGCTTTGTAAGAATAAAACAAAATAGAACAATTGAAGAGCTAAGAGTCAGTTACGTAACACGCTTCCGAACTAAGTTACGTGTGCAAAAAATTATCCTTTTCAAAACGTTCAGATTTTTTTAACACAATTTAACACATACTATTAATATTGTGCATATTAATAATAATAGGTATAAATCTCTATCCTTTACTACTAATTTTACTTACTTTTTTTTTTTTAGGAAATTTTCGATCGTAAAGGCTTGTATCGGTCTGCGATCATCTTAGCACTTCAATTGTTCTATTTCGTTTTATTCTTTTTAATCTTTTTGATTTTTTTAAGTTCAATCTTATGATTGATTCCTAAAGATAATATCACATTGCCTCTACTTTGCAAAGCTAATCATAATTATGAAATATATTGCGAAATCGTTGAATCTATCGTTAAATATAGGTCACATGGCACTATTAAAATTCTTAAATATCCATTTTACTCAAGTTTTCAGTACTTAGGAAATCTCACGATTTTATATTTTTTTGTTTTTTTGTAAAAACGCTTAATCTACACAGAGCATTGATTAGCTTAAGTAATATAACATCGGAATGAACTGTTTTCGATTAAAATTAGTTTACAAATGCGAGAATAACAATATAATGTTCGTAAACATTGACGTTAGTACCAAATTGCTATCGATAGTTGTATTAGGCAGAACGTCACAATTCGATAAAACGCACCCAAGTGCATAAAAAAATTAAACCGTGCTTTATATAGTTTAGCGATGTGTAATTAGTCCTATGTGTCCACTCTATCTTGTTCGTAGTCAAATGGAATGTAAAAACCAATGTATAGAATCTCACGTGCTACGAACATCATTAAAGGTCTACTTTAGGATTTTTGTTCATTATCTACGTATAAACAATGAATGGGAATATAATTCGTAATGCGAACACGGCGGTGTAGTATAACGATCCCGTCATTTCGATGAATCCATACTTTAGATCTGAAGTACTAGGCCTGCGCTGGAAATGTTGTCTCCGCCACCTGCCGTTTGACTAGCTTGCGTGCAAACCAATACAGGAGCGACGCACACCTGAATAGAAATATCCTCTTGCTCTACTTTTAATATCTCGTCCCAACAAGACACTGGTTTGTCGATGTTCAAAGCTATTCGAGTACCGTCAACAATAGATGTCGAAAAACTATCATCCATGATCAGTGTCGCTTTCTTCACGTCAACCTATATTAGAAGAAATTATTTTAAAATTATCAAACGCACGTAGATGACTTATTACATAATGCAAAACATAAATATGCCATTGTATGTCTGATAATTTCTAACGTTTTATTAGAAAAAAAAAACTATAATATTTAAAAGAAGCACGACAGTGTCTCACGCCATGTCTTAACGTCGAGACACTACCATGTCTTCAGGTAATTATTTGGACCTATCACATATTAGTAATGGTTAAAACATTTATGAATTATTCTCATAAGTTATTCATCCGTGTGAATAATACTTACGTTACTCGATGCACATACATGTCTATGCGCAGTCAGTGATGCTTTGGCAGCAGCGGCTATAGTATTCTTCCAAACGGAATCCTTGACGGTAAATATGGCTTGGTACGCCAGCGTGTGAACGTGAATTCTCGTGAGCTCTCTAGAATTCGCGATTGACTTGCCTCTCAGACGTATAAGTTTGAATAACGTTCTCATTTGATCTAACACCGTTGCAACACGTGGAGTCGAATTGGCCACTAACGAGATGTTACCGTAATACATAGTATTGTACAAATTCGCTATTTCTTGTTCGTTCATCCCCAAACTATCAGCGAAAGGAACTACTAGGTCGCACAATTCAAAGAGCAATTTATCCTCAGCAAATGAGGCCATTTCGAAGTGAATTCTGGTAGAGCTCGGACGATCTAACATCTGTTTCTTTACGTTCATTAGCAGATTTTTGCGTTTGTCTATAAAATTGTGTAAATGTGAAAAAATTATTTTATTTCACATAATTATGAGTATGTTTAGAGAGAAGTTACCTTCTCGAAATGGATAATTATCCATCATCTGGAGACCACTGACTACCAATAAATCGGGATCATATGTTCCCAGAACTTTGTCAAAAGCATCAAATGAGCTAATCATTGGATTATTCACATCGTTATGAACAATATATCTAGAAAAAGACATAAAAGAATACAACTTCTCATCAGGTGATTATGCATTCATCTTATTACTGTTATTTTATTATTATCAGTACCTATTTGCTCTTGCACTGGAATAAGGACCCCACACTTCACCGTGTTTATATTCCATGATAAGATGAATATCGTCACGTTTCACTTCCCCACCTACTATATTTATTACTTGTGGAATCATCTGATGTAAGGATCTGGTCATTTTAGCCGCGAGAGTCACATCACATCCCTCTCGCGCGAATCGCATTGCCATAACTGCTGCATTTCCTCCAATTGTCGAGTAAGACGATGGAAATGAGCGTGCTTTCAATACTAATTCATCGAATAAAGTTCTGTTTGCCATATAGCGTCTGTAGAGAAAAATTTACATCACTATGTATAAAATAGCTGTAACAATTACATGATAATAATGTATGATATACAGAAAGATTTAAAAGCAATGTAATAAATAAATCTTGACAATCATTTAAAGTATTTGTAGCTAAATGGAAAATCTAGAATTGTTTGAGAAAAGTTAATTGCAATTTTAATATATATATTTACTCTATGAGATGTTTATATCAATCTTAGCAAAATAATTTTATCAATCAAATGGGTCAGAGCCTCTATTATTAAATATTTTTTTTGTAACGTAACTCATATTAAATGTAATTGTCAAAGTTTCTGGAAAAAAATTCTCAGGACATTTTTAAGAATTTGTCATATTTAAAATTTATAAAGATTTCTAAAAAATAATTTTTTTTAGATTTGATAAATAGGTGTCAATGTTATCCTGTATATTTCTGAGCCATAATTTATCAAAATAATGACAGAACTCAGATAAATCTTACTCTGCTGCGGCTCCATGACGAAAATAATAGGCGAAGCTCTTGAGTAGCTCAAGCTCGCTGTTGATCTCGTCGAAGTGTTCAGGTCGGCCGACCTCATCTGAATACCTTAGCAGATGTTTCGCGTCGATGAAAACATCGGTGCACACGCCATAACCAATGGCGACTTTTGGTTTACTGGTGATGACGTATTTGTTCTCGAGCTTCTCGAGGCCATGTAACAGGATCAGTAATCGTTTTTGCAGAATGTCATCGGTGTTGCGATAATAGATCGCCGCCAGCACAATCAGCACGGTGAGAAACGTCCCGAATCCCAACCTTTTCTTATATCCCATATTGCTGCAATCAGCGCGAGTTCTGAATTCTAACCTTCTCTCATATCTTCCGTTCCCCAACCTGTTCTAGTCTCCTCCCTCCCGGATAAAACGTTAAACGCGCAAATGCCACACAATTGACCGCGAAATATGCATACGTGTACAAAAGGCGTCATTGATTGTCTCGCCTTTAGATGCGATGTCTTTTTTCCGATAGGACATATCATATACAAATATTTATGTACTATAATTGTCATCATGAGCCATGAGGTTCGCCACGTTGTTTTCAAAGTTTTGTATACGTAAGAGTGCGCGCGCGCGCGTGGGCACACGCGCATATAAAGGAAAGTTAGACTGAAGTTTTGACATTTTTTTTAAGTAATTTATTGAGCAATAATATTGAGATATATATATATATATCTTACGTTATAAAATATCAATTTAAAATATTTTCTTTGCACAAAAATGTCTAATATAATGAGATTATATGATGATAATGTAAATTTTATGACTTATTTAGAAAAAGATGACTTATAAATGTTTGCCAGTGTATATATAAGTACATGTAATATGTAAAAAATAGTTTACATCATAAAAATTTACTTACACATATGATACAAGTATAAAATTTAAAAGCTTATCGCTATAAATTTAACAGTAGTATTCTATAATCCACATAGAAAAAAATATTTTACATTTATATATTATGCGTTACATCATACATAAAAAATTCTTTAAAAAAATATTAAAAGATACTATATAGTGTATAGAAAATAGCAATAATTACATAATTAATATAATAATAAATATAATTAAAATAAAATTATATTCAAATATAAGTTATGAATATCTCTTGTGATATCTGATTGGATTGGAAGAGTAACAAACAAGTTAAAGAGAAAATATTATGTATAATATTCTATGATTTAATTAGTCACAATTAGTGCAAATCATTCAATTTAAACGTACAAAAGATATTTCAGGCCATCTGTATTATGCTTTTCTCTCAGAAATAAACAGTAGTTAGAAATTGATGGAAACATTTTCATTACCAAAACCTACCTGAATTAATAAGAAATTATATTTTTTGTTAACAATAAAATATTTAGAAACTTTTTTTATTTAAAGATGTTTCTTTTTAACAGACATATCTAATGTCTTATTCTCTCTCATCTGAATTTATATTAAAACTTTAAGATATGCTATAGTTTTCCTAATATCCCTTTCTTATATTCGTTTCTAAAAACTTAAATACCATTATATATTCATCGCATAGGGTTTAGCTTAAAAATTTTAATTTAAACTCCCAATAATTTTCGATGTCTGAACAAATGGGAGAGATTCGTAATCTGATACATTTTCTTCTTTTTCTCGTAAACCCTAAAGTGATATAAAAAGAATTTAAGCAAAAATTATTTGTTTGTAAAAAACCTATACAACAGCTACTTGATCTATAACTATATCTCTATCTAAAGTTTCATACTTGATTCAGGTTTATCCTACTTTTAATATAGTTTCTAAAATACCAAAATGCTGCTGCCATTATATGGTTTAAATAGACTGATAATAAAAATTTTTTCTCAACTTCCAACCACTGTCCATTTTTGAGAATAAAGGGTCGTATAGATGGTCTAGTATATCCTACATACACACATATATATATATATATATACATATATATAACTTTTTTTATCAGGAACTTATATTGAATTTATAATCTAGCAAAATTCAAATAATTATACTTATAATTTAATATTAGTATTTACATATCAAACAGCGTTCATCCAAAAAGAGACAGATTGAGTTATACATTAAAAAAATCTGATTCAATATTTCATTCATACTGAGCGTAATTTTTACTCAGTAATTTTTTTATTGGTCTAGTATGCCGTTCAGGAGTGTATTAATATCTTGCCTTAAAAAAAAAAAAACAAGATATTAATTCGCCAAAATATTTCTTTTATTCCTTATTTTTCGTATGAAGGCGCATATGCTTCTTCAAATTATCTAGTCGATTGCATCGGCGATCGCAATAATCGCACTTGTAAGGCATCAAATTGCTATGCACTACAACGTGACCGTTTAGATGACTGATCTGCTTAAATCGCTTGCCGCAGATAGTACAGGTATATGGACGCTCGTTCATGTGCGCCGACGAAATGTGCGTTTGCAGATTCGTCTTCCTGACAAACGTCGCCTTGCATACATCACACTCGAATGGCCGTACGTTCGCATGAATCGCCAGGTGCGACTTGAGTACGTTCTTATGCTTGAAGTTCTTTTCGCATAAATGACATTGGAACGGTCGTTCGTCGTTATGTACCTTTTTGTGCACCGACAGATGTGCCAATTGCTTGAACATTTTGGCACAAATCTCGCATTGGTACGTACGACCATCTTCATGCGCGGCACTGACGTGACGGCGCAGAGTGTCCGCTAGGGTGTACCGTTTACCGCAGATCTTACAGCAGTACGGACGCTCATTGGTGTGCGTCAGCAAGTGGCCGTTGAGGTTGCGCCTCTCAAGGAAACGTGCACCGCACACATCGCACTGATACGGCTTTTCGCCGTTGTGCACGTACATGTGTTTCTTCAACGAGTTCGAGAGACTGAAACGTTTTGAACATATGGTACACTGAAAACGACGCTCACCAGTGTGCACCAACATGTGCGACTTGACGTGACCAGCTTGCTTGAATCGCTTGCCGCATACCTTACAATCGTACTGACGTTCCTGCGTGTGCGTGAATATGTGTCGCTCTAGTACGCTTTTCGTTGTGAATACCTTTTTACAGCTGTCACACTCAAACAGACGATAGACATCACGTACCTTCGATGTCGTTGTCGTGGTGTCACCTTTATGCGAGTGCGCATGTTGCTTCAGTAAATCCAACGAGTCAAACTTTACACTGCATACTGTACACTGGAACGAACGATAGTCATGATGGGTCAGTGAATGTTGACTAAGATGACCCAGTTGCTTGAAACTCTTTTTACATACTTCGCACTCGTACGGCCGTTCGTTGGTGTGCGATCGGATATGTCTTTCTAGCACGCTTGGAAAGCTGAATTTTTGCTTACAAAATGTACACTTTAGAGATTGTGTCTTTGATATGCGGTTCTCCGCGGGCAGTTTCCGTTTCCCCGTTTGGTTGGGACTCTTATTGACTTTGCTAGAGGATTCTCTCGTGTCGAGTGACACATCACAATTTTCGTTTATTATTTCAGGATTGAATGTTTCATGTGTTATTTGAATAGATTTTGCATTGGTAATATTTCTCGTTTTTCTGACCGATATCCCTTTTTCTTCATCAGCTTTATCTTTTCCATGTGATTGTTTCATATGCTTCTCGAATAATCTCAGAACGCTAAACGTTTTATTGCACAGCTTGCAATGAAGAACCTGTTTTGCTTTGTGAATTCTTATGTGATTTTTCAAATGCCCTATTTTCATGTATTGCTTTTGACAGTACTGGCATTTGAGGGATTGAGTATCTTCATTGACTTTCGAATCACTCTTCATGGCTATTTTATCTGTAGATATTGAATCCATCGTATGTACATTATTCAGAGACTCATTCTTCACGATGACGCAATTAAAGTTTGCATCGTCGGTCTTTAAAAGTGCATTTTGACTCTGTGTATTTCGTATATTTTCGTTCTCTTCGCAATGCTGAAACATTCAAAATAGAATAATTTCAATCATTATGTTACGTTTATAATATCGAGATACAACATTGTATATTATACTGCATTATTACATTGGTATTGTTTGATGTACTCTGTGTGTCTTCCGTCATTGCCTCACCTCCATCCATTTTATTCGACAAATGTTTAATCAATTCTTCTTCTGTTCTCAAATTTTCTGTATCTTTTCCAATACCTTGAAAATTTTCACATGCATTTTGTTTGAACAATATGTCATATGGAACTCTACCGTTCTGATAGCGATATGTCGTGTTATGAACAATCTGTATAAAGTTCAGTCCCTCGCACCAGGTCTTAGTTGGATTTTTTTTCATCCAAGATTCAAGCAAACTCTTAAAATCCCTGCAGCTAACTTCGCATTTAGATGTGTCTCCATGCAGTATGAACAAATCATTCCATATCGAATGTAGTTCACATACAACTTGTTCAGCAAACATACGTCCATTGCCGCTCTGTAATACTCGCGGTACTCCTATGATTCCCAATACATCTAACAAATTTGTTGCAACCTCTTTAGCTGTATTGCTATGGAGAGCCCTTAGTATAACAAATTTGGAAACCTGATCTTCATAAACAAAAAAATACTTATAATTCAACGTTGAATCTACTGTCATCTCTATTACGTCGATGCGACCTTTATTATATAATTTTTCCGAATCATCAGTCAATCCTTTGGATGGCTGATTTAAAGAATCTGTTTGGCAGGGCTGAAAATAGTACAAAATACATAAAATAATTTCAATTAGATTTTTAGTACATAAAATATTATAAATTATATATTAGTAACAACAAGATAACATCATTCCAATTCTTAAATGTCTAATCCCAGTGCTATTGCTAAGTGAGATTTAAATGTTATAATTCATTTACTGAACAGAGTAATAAACTTACTTTTGCATTTAAATAACTACTCTCTTGTTTGATTTCCTTGTTCTCTTTAGACAAAACTTGTAGATGCACGATTTTGTTTTGCGCAGACTGTTGTGAATTCAAGGTACTTTGAAAGAACTCTGTTTTTTGCTTTATGATTAAGAAGTCCTGATTTCTGTCTTCCGGTAGCGAGTGATCCAAAGAATTGTTTATATATGCATTTTGTGGTATCCATTCCACACTTAATGGCATTTCTTTGTTCATTATTATTTATCATATGTTGTACTTAATACTGTTTCTTTGTTCCTACTGCTCTCTTTACCATTTCCTATAATTAATCAACAGTTCTTTATTATTATTTTCTAGCTATTAAATAAAAAAGAAACTGATATCTTCATTACAAATTGTTCTTTATCACAAAAAACAAATAGATATTGATAAAATCAATATTAATTTATACTTTATAATAATTCTTTATTATATGCTAGATCTAGTTTTTCATTTTCTAGTTAATTTATAGATATATATAATTTGACGTTTTATAATAGATCCTTTATAAAGGATGCTTTCTATTTGGTAATACATATTGACACAAGTTGATACAAGTGTTGTTCTCTTTGTTACTCTTTGAATATCAAGAAAAATAGAAGAAAGTTTTTGTCAAATTGTATCACCAAATGGAAAGCAATCCATAATACATGAGCATAATGGAAAGATATCTTTCCGTATTATCTCTTTCTGTATTATCATATAATTTTACATATAAAAAATCAAGTCGGCATAATAAAACAATTATTTCTCAATCGAAAAATTACCCTATAACGTCACATAAATTCGACTTGTATCAATTCCCAGTTGCTGCGTTTGTTTGAAAAAATTATTTAATTGGGATTTGTATATCACATTAAATTGTCCACATCCTCTCGCGCGTCTTGCTTTGTTTTGATCGCAGAAAAACCTGAGAGCGGTCATCCTTGGTTATCTCGGTTTTTTTCATGCAACGCTTATACCAGCTCACCAACTTCAACGTCCATTTTTACCAAAATTGGCTGTTGACCAACTGTACCAATTCATCCATTTCAATCACCGACCGATAAATATCCTTCAGAGTCTTCAGACTCGCTTACTCGTGATTACAAACTATCGACTTATTGCAAAACTAAGGTTAGAAATAATTCAGAACCTGTGGCTGTGACAGATTTCCTAACCTGAGTCTGGATTCTTGATAAATATCGCATATGATCACATCATTGCATACGAAAATACTGAGTAGTATACTTATATATATATTTATGTATATTGTATATATGTACATACATGCAGCAAACGAATCGATTAAAAAAAGGTTATAGTTGTTCTTTGATATAACTTTTTAGGTATTTAAAGCCAGCGGTAGCGGTACACGATGCTTGTTTTCCTGCTGGATTGCTAGCTGGATCAAATTTTTGCCATCGGATTGGTTACAATTTACAATACTGGGCGGCTGCGTTCAAAAACATCATCTGAGTGCTCCCGTTCCCGTATATCGTTTTATCCTTGTTGTCCATGTTAAACATGTTAAACAAGGATAAGACGATACACGAGGCACTGACAGTGTCAGTATTGCAGCCAATCCGATGGTAAGAATCTGAACAGCTAATAATCTAGCTTTGACCTTTGAAATCTTGAACGTGCCCCATCTCTATGTGATCGCTTGTGATCGCTGCCTGTTCGCATCGTAGAATTCATAAAATTTCGTGCAATTCTGTGATTGGATAGATTTTCTAACCTAATAGTTGTTAACTTTAATGTTTAATTTTTCGGTTCGCAAGGCAGAGTGATGCTTTTTTCAGCCAGATTTGTTCGTTTCGGACAAAAACGCGTTGAATGAGCAAATTTCATCAATTTTTGAAGTAACACACCGGAAAATTAAACAACTATCTTTTTTTTTCAAATTCGTTAATTTTTTTTATTTTACAAAAAAAACGCGTTGATTGGTATATTTGTTTATCAATTTTGTGTTTGTGTATGTTAAACTATACAATTACCGCATAGTATTATGACCCTTTATAATGGATTGAAAAGTTATCCAGGGATTTAAAGAAGACACATCAATTTACCGTCAAATAAATCTGGATCCTGGATTAATTTTTGTTGTTCATTAAAATGACGCAAACCTTAGATGATGTACGACTTGCTGCTCGTAGAGCAGTGCAATTTGATGGTAATGGTCAATATCAACAGGCCCTATATTATTATGACATTGCTATTAAACTTCTTACTAAATTACAATCCGATGGCATGTATGAAGATAAGATTGCAGAATATTGTGAGAGAATTTCATTGCTGCAACGTCTTGGTAAGTATGTGTACCATGAATTTTCTAATAATCATGATATTATAAATATGTCTCTTTTAACAAAAAAATGTTATTTTTGAAACTTTTAGTTCACGAAGAGGAACAAAATAGTCATAAGCCAGAACCTTTACATCAGTCTGAGTTAAAGAAATGTAAATTTCTCATGAATCAAGCATTAGATGCAGATGAAGCAGGTTTAAAAGATATTGCAATAAAATTATACACTGATGCTGCTGAACTTGGACTTAGTGCAGTAAGTATAACATTGTTGCATGATTTCTGTTGATTTTTCGAAAAAACTATTAATAGCAGCCATAACTTTGTTAAAAATAAATGATTTTAAAAATAAAAATCTCTGCTTTTGTGAAGAGTTACTATGTTTTTTTGAGAGTTTGATCATCTTTATATATAGAAAACTGTGAGCTAGATAAAATAAAATATTTTATGTGCAACTCGTGTGGTGTAATTGCCTATAACATATGCCTATCAAATTTGTATAGAAAACTGCTGACACAGAAATGAAAGCAAAGTTAACAAGTCTTGTCAGAGTTGCTGTTGAACGGGCAGAATCTTTGAAAGGAATAAAAACTACTGCGGATAATGGTATAATGAAAAGTCTTGCCAAGTTACCATCTGTACCAGAAAGCAGTTTTCCAGATACTGAACAGTCAATACAATCAGAACAGCCAGTAAATGCATCATCAGCTGTTTCAGGTAAAAAAATATATACTTACAGAAAGATGGAAAACAAAGCACTGTAACGCATTTATTATTTGTATAAATTTCAGCAAAAGATACCAGATCCTCACTTCACCGAGGAAGCAGTGGACATCTCAAAGTAACTGGTGGTAGTACTAATTATACTGAAGAAGAAAAGAAAGTGCTGCTATATGGCTCTCATATAAATGATAACGAATTTGTGCCATTTATGAATGTCGATCTTGCTGAAAAATTCCAATACGCCTTTCCATTTACTGATAAAGACGGATTATTACAGCTAGCACCAAAGCAAAAGCCTGATTTTGCTGGTTGGCGACGACCAGAAGAATTATATTCTGATCCAAAAATGGTCATTGGCCATCATGTTGACTATTTTAGCATAAAACAGACTGTTAGTAATACATAACATATTAAAAACTAATAATATTCTTATATTATTAGTTTGTGAAATTTAGAGACAATGTAACTGATGACTCTATGACATACTTAAATAATATTTGATTTTTTTGTATTTTAGGTAGTCTCTGATTGTTCATTTGTTGCGTCTCTGGCTGTGAGTGCTCAATATGAAAAAAAATTTGGACGAAAACTCATAACATCTATTATTTATCCCAAAAATAAATGCAAAGAACCCATATATAATCCGTTTGGTAATTATTTAATTAATTTTAAATTAGCTTCTTTTTATATAAAAGTGGTATTGTAACATTATATACCAGTGTTTTTCAGATTATCCGTAAATCTGATTTAAAAACGAGGAAAGTAATTATTTTGAGAAAAATACTTTAAACAACAGTTGTTTCACATAAACACGCACACACACGTACACGTGAGAGACAAGGGAATTCGTTTTAATCAAGCACCCCAAAGATATGTAAATCCGATCGTGCGACCTCCACGCAGTACATCTTGAGTAATACTAACGGTGGTACTGAAATTTTGAAATCTTATAACTCATGAATATCTTGACGAAAAAAGATTTATAACCAGGTTTTGAAAATGTCTTGACTTCAGTTACGTATAAGAGAATATGCAATAAAAAATATGGGTTCTTATTTAAAAAATATAAGTCGACCTTAACGACGACTCAAGGTTAATCGCATGTGTCCTTGTAATGCATTTTACTTGATCTTTAATGGTTTTGTCACCGAAACATTTTTCAAAATAACCACTTTCCTTGATTTTAAATAGGGTGTATGGATGGTCTGAAACACTCGGTACATTCGGTATAATAGTATACAAGAAATGTTTACATTAAGCTACTTAAAAGAGGTACATCCTGTACGAACCCTTTGATGATTATATTTTTGTTCGTGATTGTCTTCTTAATAAGACAAATGCAATTTTAAACATTCTGCTCACTTGATGGTTCTCTTTTAATTAAAATTATGCTATTGAAAGATATATTTGAAACGCATAGTTATTTTTTACATAAGAAGTATTAAAAAAAAATACGTTCGTTAAAATCGTGGATTTTTCCTCCCCTTCTCCCTCTCCCTCTCTCTTCATAATGCTTGGTAGCAGAAACCATGACTCCCTAACGTGAACGTACAAAATAAAGTCTCCCTCCCTTTTTTTTAAAATAAAAAAAGGTCATAACGGTTAATAGTAAAAAAGAACGTGAGTGCTGTCAATAATAAAAATATTATGATAGTTAAAGGATGTTCCTTTTTATGCTTACAGTGTGTAAGCGTGAAAACGCACCTTTCGAATCTATTCAATCGTGCAGGTAATTTGAATGAATAAGCAGCAGTACAAAATAAAAAATTAGCATTTCCTTCAACCGCTCCCCTTCCTTTCGTTTACCTACATAATATTTTTGATTATCCCCTTTTCTCTTCTAGCGAACGTATTTTTTGAATGACCCCTAAGAATTTATCTTATGTAAAACATGCGCGTATACTTGATATTTATTATATATTAGAAATGATAAACATATAATATCAGGAAAATACATGGTGAAACTACACATCAATGGCATTCCACGTAAAGTAATAATAGATGACCTTCTGCCTGTAAGCCGATACAACCAATTACTCTGTTCCTACTCTAGCAATCGTGGGGAGCTATGGATTTCTTTACTCGAGAAGGCTTATATGAAAGTAATGGGTGGTTATAATTTTCCTGGATCAAATAGTGTAAGTTTGGATATCTTTGCAACAACATTAAATTATTAATCCTATAATTTATCTCATTAATCTTTGTTTAATATTTTTTTAATTAATTTATTATTGTTCAATAATATATCATTACAGAATATAGATTTACATGCTTTAACTGGTTGGATACCCGAAAGATGGGCGATAAAACTAAATGAAGTAAATTTTAATAAAGATAATTTATTTGATGTATTATTATTACGGCTTCACAAGGGAGATGTGTTAGTCACTGTAGCCACAGGAGAGTTATCAGATTTGGACGCAGATCGTACTGGTCTTGTACCAAGTCATGCATACGCTGTTCTTGATGTGAGAAAAATCAATGTAAGCAAAATAGAAAAATTGTCCATTTAATATTTTTTAAATGTATTTTAATAATATATAAATAAAAGTAAGATTTTCTGTTTTCTAAGCATATTATTTATGTTTTGTATTATGTTTTGTTTATTTAGAAAAAATATTAAGTATTTAACTTTAACACAATATTAATGCATATGTAGGGAGAAAGATTATTGCAATTGAAAAATCCATGGTCCAATTTGCGATGGAGAGGCAATTATTCTGAACTTGATATAAAACATTGGACTCAGGATTTGAAAGAGACATTGAATTATGATCCAGAATCTGCTTCGGTATTTGATAACGGTGTTTTTTGGATTGATTA